GTCTCTGACATCAGTCATCTGCATTTATTTTCATTACCCTGTTTGATTTGTTTGCCTAGTATAATTCAGTTACAGATTCCCATAATACAACTTAAGTAAACTTGTTAATAAAATTATCAGGATAATTCTTTATTAACAAAGGGCCTCAGATTTATTGAACAGGATTTTTTTTTTTATAAAACCACATCTCTGGCTATTTTAATAATATAATATTGCTACTATATTCAACCTCTAAGTTGAATGGATAAGATATAGCTATTAATAAGGTGATTAATATGGATAAGAATAGATATTAATTAATTTAAGGTTTATTTATTTATTTTGTTTTCATCTATTTAATCATTTCTTGGCTGGGCCCTCTGTGTCATGAGTGAGATAAACAGAAATGAGCAAAGGAGAAGGGGTGTGTGCAGTGGACATGACCCAAAACTAACTCATTTTAGTGAAGTTGCACAAAACTGAAACCCACTTTTGAAATCATAGACATTTAGGATTCAGATAATTTTAAGATTTCCTTTATTTAACTGTCCCCTATCCCTCCCCGCCCCCATTGGGTCTGACAGGACTCATTTTTATTAGTGAAATATACAAACTTCATAATAAGATAAAATGCTATTATTTATTTTATCACCAAAACACCAATAACTTACTTGCTATTCCTTTAATAAAGGCAACGAGAACCAGTTATCATATTTTGCAATTTATTGTGATATTCTGAGGTTAAGGAAAATCCATTCATGGAATTTTTTAAAAAGCTACCAAATTTAAGGAAAAGTCAAATTCCTAAGGGAAAAATATATGAAAAGTTGATGCAATAGCTTAAGTGAATGTTCAGATAATGTTGAAGACCTAACTTTATTAAATACCAAGAACAACAGTTTGTGGAGTCAGACTCATTGAAATATTTTTAGTGAAAAAAAAAATGTGAAACAGAAAAGTCAGCATCTCTAAAATGTGGATTGTTCTCATTTAAAAGTCCAAAGATACTAATCTCCAATTACGTTTCTAGCCTCATTTTAATTACAAAGTCAAATGCAAGTTAATTATAACAAATTAAACATTACATGTCTATGTTGCAATATGATGCATAAAAATGACATGTGTATAAAATCAGGTACAAAAAAATGCTATTTCCAAATCATCACACCAGCAGTGAATTAGGCAACTAAAATGCACTTGGACAGAAGTTAAATAGCTTAATTCGGGGCTTTGCAGGTATTGCACAGAATGACAGGCCTCCCAGGTTTTGAAAGTGAATTCAAACATACAGAAATAAAATGAAAACAGCTATTTTCAAATGAACTAACTGTGTGTAATCACATCATTGAAAACATCTTATGGAATTAAGAAAGCACTTATGTAAGTAATATTTGAACTCACTTTATCAAAAATATATTTCCTAAAATAATTTGATTTGAAACACACTGAAACATCTCGAAAATCTTGAAACGTCTCATTCCTTACCCACCAGAGTCTCCCCATTTGAAAATAAGCTGAAGGTTGATATTCAGATGGTCCGATAGTCAGTAAATAGGAGTTTTAACTATATGAACAGATTCCAATACTGAATACTGACTTTTAAAGAGCAGCCTCCAGAGGCCTCCAGAGAAAATCTCCCAGGTATCCTGGAGGCCCCACTTCCAAGATCTGGCATCCAGAGTTAAGCCATGGACACCAGAACACCCCCAGGACACTGCCTCAGCATTACCACTGTCTTTTTTCCTAATGAGCCAATGCCCACTGTTAAATGTTTTTTAATATCACCCCTAAGGAGGCCTATTCTTCACTGGAAATATTTTTTGTGTGTTCCTATGGAGTTGTTATGTATTAAATATATGTAAGCAATCCATCTTTATCATTATACTTAGTGTAGCTGGATTTTTTTTTTTAAGTCTTCATGAGTGGACTTCTGGTGCCAATATCTTTTAAGCAGTGAAGCATCAAATCAGAAGAAGTCATGTATATTTAGGAAGAGCTGGAGATGGAAGGTTTGTAGATTCCCACAGAATAAGGGATGGTGAGTTGTTCACCTAATTTATTTACCTGTCTTTCTGCTGTTATCGTCTTGTCATGTACATCATCCTTTTTTTGAGATTATTCATTCAAAGTATAAAGGACCCTACGAAGATTTCTAAATAAAGTAATAAAATACGGTTGATCCCTTTAAAACACAATCTTCGGATGCAGATGCATCAACTTTGAATTAGAGGGCGTAAAAGTAGGCATGATAATAAATAAATCTGTCAAGTCAATTAAAAAAGACTAAATTTTAACAGAAGCAATGTGTATAAAAATATGTAGCAAAATAAAAAAAAATAATCTTTCTTATGTTCAAGATATTGTTTTTCTATTTACCAGTTTATCAAATTCATGGGAGCGATTATTTCTGTAGCTTGACATTTTTTCAATATAGACTATTCAGAATGGTTATAATTCTTCATTTTTTTCTATCACTAAAATTTCTTTTCTTTGCCATGTATTTGTTTTTGTGACATAGGAAATTGAATTCCTAACAGGGATGCGTACGGGTAATTCATGTGTTGGGTTTGGAAAGCCTGCTTGAGATAGAAGGAAGGTCTGAGTTGTGGTAGACGAGGCTGTTTCACTATTTGAAGGACAGAATTCTTTAGAATTCAGCCGTGTTGGAAATGTGGGTAAGCAGATTCATAGTAATTCTGATTTTTTAAAATTTATTTTCTAAGAATACACATTCAATATTTTAAAAGTACCCAGTCTCTAAGTCAAACTTTATAGACTGTGTATATAATTCAACAGCAATTAAACATTGGGTTGTTGGAAAAGTCATGATGCATTTTTGCAATGAAAAACAGAGAAAAAATATGTCATGACTTTTCTGACAAACCAATATAATATATGATTTTACTTTATTCATATTTAAACATATCTTAATTAGTAAGATTTCAGGTATCATATGTGTGCCTTAGTATAAGAACAACTCAGACTGGTGTAAATGTGGGTCATAAAATGCCCTGTGATGTTAGAGCATTTAAAAAAGACTCTCCTATTCTAAAACAAAAACATATTTCATAAAATTTTGGAGCTAGAAGCCTCAATGCTAAAGGACATCCTATAGCCTAAAATGTGGAAAGAGTTGATATAAAGTGTGGACTTCTGGAAGTTAGTTTTTTAATAACTCTAATAGAAGAAAACATTTCTCATAAGTCAAGTTAGGAAATTATTATACATTTTTATATATCTTTATATAAAAAGTTACAAGTAGCAAGCATATGACACAAAGAAATGGAAGAGTAACAGTAGTATTGGAGGATGCATGCTTTTTACAATGTGTCTAATAAAAAGGATATTTTTCCAACTGAAATATCCAGAACTGACATGCAGGGTATTTTCTCAAACTGTCAATTCAATCATATTGCTAAGTGCTCAATCAAAAAAAAAAAAAAAGAAAGAAAACATTTCTATTGAAGGGTGTAAATGGTAAAATAACCAGATTCCCAAAACTATTTCTGAAACTGGGCATTTCCCTTTGATAAGAAATGAAAAAGGAAGTAGGGGTATATGGGGAAGATCAAAAAAATGAGATTGTTCTTATTGCAATCTAGTCATTTTACTTGTCACTTTTGGCTGCACTTAATCATAACACAACAACAGATGTTATAGTCCGTAAGAACTCTAGCTGCTGTTTTCAGGGTCCATATTGTGACTTTTCACTGTAGCATGTTCAAAATCACTCAGGAATGCACTATTCTCAAGCAGTCTATATAATGAAAACAGTATACAGGTAATGCAAAGTTCATCCAAAATCATGTTTGTTTGTTTTTCACATATCGCACAATGTACAATTATATAACAGGGACGTAAAACAACATAGAAACAAAGTGAAACCGACAGCAAAAATAAAGTCGGGGTAGTCTTAATCAGGAACTAATTTCTTCTTCAAGTTTCCAGTAAATCTCAAAATGTATTTAAATACTAAGGAGCACTTGGTGGCCAGCAACCAAATTACGAAATGAACACTTCATTGTGCAGCGGGGGTGTCTTGCCGAAGAAATAACAAATGTCTGTAATTCTTAAGTTTGGATAAAGGCAGTGGAATGAATTTAGAAATATGTCCACTTTTCACAATTCACTATAGAATTTTCTTTTCACAGTCCCCATGTTTGTATAAATAGTTCTTCTCTGAAAATAAAACACAGTTAAAACATTTTCTCCCAATGAAGAATGCATACAAACACACCAATGTAGCAAGGTCATATAGAGCATGGAAAAGCATTCACCTAGTTGATAGGTCTGAAGAGTTTTAAAGAGATTAGCTGTCAAGCAAATTTTACTGGAGACAAATTAGTCTAATATAGATATGGACTATCAAATGCTAAAAGTAAAACCATTACAATACCCAATGACAAATTAGAGGTACACACAGACAACGGGTACTTATGAAACGCTTCACATTACCAAGCATCCAACATAACATGCTGCATTAATTTTGATGAAATCACCTACACAGTCATGCAAAAATAAGAGTGCCCAAATTGGATAAGAACCAGCGAACACTTAGTGTATGAGCTTGGAGTAAAATGTTGCCAAATTAAATCAATAAAATTATTATCAATTTTATGTATTGGCTTCAGTTATATTGAGACAATATTCAATTTTTCAATTATGAAAACCTTGGGTTTCTTGTAATATTTCTTGGAAGAGGTCATTAAATTTTGTATCTTTGTCTTAAAACATGTAACATTTAACTGATTAATTGAACATCCTCTTTACTAATGCTGTATGTAGTACCATGCTTGATGGTGAGAATATTAACATTTATTTTAAACACACATGTACTAAGAATCAGCCTCCATCAGCATTTAACCCACTGTATCTCTAATCATAAAAGGTTATGAAACATGTATCTCAGGGAATAGTGAATAAATAGCCCATTCCCTAAAAGAATACAAGACGAGTGCAACAAAACAAAACAAAACAGAGTACAACAGAGTGGGAGAAGGGGCCGAGGGCATTTGCTTACCTTGAATTTTCTTTTTAGACCCTAGTTGTGTTGTATTCAGATTCATGTTTGCTTAGAGACCCAATGAGGCAGAACCTGGAACGTTACGGCTATTTCATTCAACAAAGTAATATTTGCACACAGAAATAAATATGCACACAAGTAATTACTTAAAAGCATTCCTAAAAATTCATAAAACTATGGAAATCGAGTTTTGCCATCAGCATGCAAAAATATCAACTGAAATACTTTAGGTTTTGAGGATGGATGATAAATCGAGAAAGTATGTACATTTATAAAACAAACTACACACTAGTTAGCATGCAAAACAAGACATAAGTAGATTGGATTTGGGGATTTAAAATAACTATTTCCCTAAATTTAAAATTTCTTTCCTCAAAATTTGTACTCATTTTAGGGCTAATAATATAATGCAGATGATATTGTCTCTATAGTAAAAGGAAACTGAATCAAATATTTCTACTAATGTTTGCTACATTTAAATATAAATATCTAGTATTTAGCATAGCATGCTATAGCCTATGTAATTTGTAATACAACTATTATGTGATATGTGGAAAAAAGTATTTTCATTTTCATACCAAAAATATAATACATTATATTGCAAAATATGCTATTTCTACTTTAAAATTATTCAACGAGATGGAGTTCACCATCTCGGTAAGGCAACTATTTCAAAATATCATTTCATCTATTAAAAGATATAAATATTGACTGGGACGACATTTGTGACCACGTGGACACACACCTTCAATGGAAATCTGTCATGAAAACTAACACCGTTGTTTTTGTAGAAATGCCTCTTATATATGTGTGGAAATAAATAAACTATCTTTGGTTCATGCATACACACACACACACACACACACACACACACACGGATGAGATTTCGGGAGGCTGCAGAGAGCCCTGATCGGGGACAACGGAGAGGGTGGGACAGTCGAGACACTCTGGTGGAAACCATTCATCGAAAGAGAAAGTGACATATGAAGACAAACTAGAACACGGTGTTCTGGAAGCATTCCAGTCCTCAGGTTATGGTTGTCATCAAAAAATCTACAGATACTGACCGCTGGACTGCTTTGTCGTGTCGCGACAGCCGGTGACTGGTGGTGGGCACCTCCTCGATCTCGTCAATGTCGCAGGCCGCGGCCGGCTCCTGCGAGTAGTTGTGCCTCATGATGAGGATGTTCCTCCGGCTGGCGGGCGGGACGAGGGGCTTGACGGGCTGGGGGGGCATCTCGGTCAGGACAGGCGCGTCCCGCGCGCTGAGGTTGCTGCGGCTGCCTTTCGCGCTGGACAGCTGGGACCCACAGTGATGGTCATGGACGCACTTGGAAGAGGACCTCCGCAGCTTGTGGTAGTTCTCAAAGTCATCTGCCACATCGGCAAAGTCCGCGGCGGCCCCCGTGCCTCTGAGGGCGCACAGCTCGTAATGAGGAGGCTCAAACACCTCCTGGAAGACCGTCTGGTCACAGTCCGGCTTCCTGTGGACATATTTTTTACGAGGCTGTTTGATCTGCACAATGACAGAAATGATAATAAGGATGATCACAATGCAGGAAGTCACGCCAATGACAGTCCCACTGGTGTTGGTGAGCTGGTCCAGCAGGCTGGTTTTCCTCTTTTCTACAGGTCGAGAGGAGTGAAAACAACAGAAAGAACAAGAAACAACCCACCACGCGTTAATATGGGAGTCAAAGCGCGCGCAGAGAACTTTCAGATGCAACAAGCTAAGCATAGCATTTTTACAGCCTCAGAGCAGCACGAACGCACCTTTAGATGTGAACCCACATTCCCACTTTTCACAAGGACCCTGTCTCCTAGCCTTCGACACAGCCCTCCCACTGCCCAGCGTCCCTGCTTTAAATGTAAACGTATGTTTGGAGAAGGTCATACCACCGTTTGAATGACACCTGGGGATGGTCTCTTAATTTTAAAAGCAGTAAATTCTTTTTCCTCTCCTCGGTGTAAAGAAAACCTCCAAACTCCACTACTGGGAACATGGCTGCACCTATATTGTTGTGAATTTATTCCTGATGTGGATAACTGAAGTCAAAGCAAGAATGATATTCTGAACCCAAAAGGTACTTAAACTTGACGACAGACATTTCTGGAAGGTGGCACTATGGCGTCTGTGGTCCTTTTCCCCAAAGAAACCACCATGAGTGGTAAAAAATTAGATTTAAAAATCCCAGCCATTTAAAGTCTGGGAAATTATCTTAATGGCACACAGCACAGGAGGTACATTAAAAAAAAGAAAGAGAAAAAGAAAAAAAAAAAAAACCTCCTGCACGTCTTTAAGAACACGGAGGGTCTGTGGCACTTAAGCCCCCACAGGCCCCAGCGTATCATGACAACAGCTGTACAGGGAGGCTCTAGGCCATGCTGGCTGCCTCTCCCCACAGCTCTCTGCCTCCCCACAGGGCCTCCCCTGAGGGGCAAGCTGCTAGCATTTCTCACCCCCCATCCACACTGCAGACACTCAGCTCCAGGCGGGGGTGGCTAAGGCAGGGGGGCTCTCCTCCCCGCCCCAGCCTGGTTCAGGGGCGGAGGGCTGAGCATGGAGGCCCAGCTCCCGCATCCAGTGGAACCGTCTGGAAGCCAGCTGAGATGACCAGACGTTACCACCCTTGCCCAGTGTGCCCTCTGCATAAAGCAGGGATGTTACTGAGAGAGGGGGCCACTGTGCCTGCTCCCCACGCCCCCAGGGATGCAGTACGGACGGTTTTCCCCTGAAGAGGGGCAGCCCCCAAGGACAGACAGCACACCAGCTTTCCCTAAAGGAAGTTACATGATTTGGAACAGAGTGTGCAGATGCTCATGCCTAAGGCAATCTCGAAAGCAATGGAAATCCACAGCGCTGAGATAAGAGTCTTCACAAAACATTTAACTTCCCACCCATTCCAAAGTGGTTCCTTAGACACAAAACGGGCTCCGTGCTCACGTCTCGCCTTCGAATATCTGGGAGCAGCTCTGCCTTTCTTACTGACCATATGAAACAGGGCTGCAGTGGGTTGCCTGTCGGCTGCTGCCCACAGAAGGTGTTTTATAAAGACCACTGGGCTTTAAGCATGAAAGAGTTATCTGCCTGTTTCCCTTCCTTTGCCAGTGGTTACTATCAAATCTGAATAAAAGTGTACGGCTGGTCGTTTCAGCTTCACGAACACAGGCAACATTTCTGCCCAAGCCAAGATCACTGTCCACAGAACCAGACGCCTGTGCACAGGCTGCAGGAGGCAGCGGGACCTCGCAAACTGTCGTCATTGGAAAGGAAGAAGAGTATTTAGGTACCAAATCGAAGCTGAGTTTAAGTGGCTGGAAGTGCTGGGAAGCACAAGCGTTCCTTCCATGTGCCCTCTCTAGAGTAAGGGGCCACATCCAGCAATGGCAAGCTGGAGTCATGGCGGACGCCACCAGAGATTCAGGGCACGCGATGTGACAGGAAACAGGGCACTGCCCTAAAAGCTCCCGTCTCTTTTCCATGGCCTCACAGGGTTTAGTACGGAGAGGCCTTGAATGAGCCTTCGCAGGTTAAGGGTGGTCCACTCTGCGTGAATGGATGAGACCCCTGGTTACAGCAGGCAGGGCTGACAGAGAAAAAGGCTTACCAATCACGTATAAAACACACACAAAGTTCATAAAAGCCACTCTATGCTCTATCTTTTAGGCTGTCTGATCCACATGAAACACTGGCATAAACGTCCTTCCCACCGCCAGGCAGGGGGGTTTGCAAACTTCAAGGATGAATCATTACCTTTACAATGATTTTCATCCCAAGGATACACACAGTTCTGGAGTCCGTTGCACACCAGCGTGTTGTTAATACACATGTTGCTGTGGCAGAAGAAAGTGTTGCCTTCACAGGGAGCTAAAAGCCAAAAGAGAAAGACAAAGGAGTTATAAACAATGCTCAGGAGCAAACCACTCACAGTGCAAATCTTAAAAACAAAGAGAGTGGTATGTCGGTTAGGAGTTGGCTTGGGACGCCAGCTCTGAGCAGCAGGGCCCCGGTTCGGATCCCACATGAGGGTCAGTGACGCTGCGCCCTCTACAGCTAAGATGGTGAACAACAGCTCGACCTGGAGCTGGGCTGCCGTGAGTGCCAGAGATGGCGTAGGCTGCAGTGGGGCTGCCTGAGTGGCAGGCAGTGGGTGTGAGCTTTCATGAGCTGCCGTGAGCCATCGTGAGCCGCCGTCCAACCAATGGCCAGTGAGCGACTGCCTCAGCCGGGAAGAGCACAATGATAATACCAACATGGGCCAGTGAAGCGACGTCCTCCACAACTAGACTGAAGAACAAAACGACAGCAACTTGTCTGTTCCCTCCCCCAATTCCCCAATAAAATATTTTTAAAAACCCCAAACAAACAAACAAAAAAACCAAGAAGATCACAATGATAATTTGCTGCCACACTGAGATAGACCATTTGACATTACGTTCTCAGAAGTGGTGGTGTGGTGGTAGCACAATTATTTCTTGTGTTACTAATGAAGCTGGGTTCCTCTAGAGATGGGTGGGTGGCTTGTAAACCAGGCACAGGAAGTCTCCATCGTAAAAACGAAGCACGTTACCCATACGGTTCTTTATCGTTTTTTTACTTGGTGCCTTCATTTAGCAAAACATAAGTGCCTACCACAAGCACAGTATTACACTTCATATTCTGTATGCACAGATTTAGTTGTACTGAGCAAAAAGGCTTAATTTAAATGCTTCTGAAAAGTCTATGCTTATGCAATACTAATGAAGGGGGTATACAGCAAAAGAAACACTATAACTTTATTTAAGCATATAAAAAAGACGAAGGGTGTCATGGAAATTGAGACTGGGAGAAAAGTAATCCTGATCAACATAAGAAAAACATATATTATTCCCAACAACATTTAACATATATATGGTGATGAAATTAGCCTACTTTGCATGTATTTCACACATTCTGGGAACTTCAGGTGCAAAGGTCCCTAATGTCCATATTATAATGCATTTAGGGGGCTGGGAGGTAAAATATGAAGCTCAGGAAGGTGTATAATTTGGCTATGTAAATATAAGAAATAGTAAAGAGTTTCATACAACAAAGTAAAATGTTAGATGCGACTTCGATGTTAGGAAAACGTACTTCTTTCATTACCAGAGTAATAGGGTATTTAGAATAATCAGTCTCTAGAGTAATGCTACTTTAGGGTTTATAGGTGACAAAAACTTTTGTTTTTACCTTTGTAATCATCCCATGTATCTCATAAAATGTAACTTTAGCGTCTATCTTTCTCAATGATAGTTCTGTGGCCCTTGTAAGAATAGGCATTCTAGAAAAACACATTTGCTCCAACACAAAATTTATACTGGTTAATGAATCAGCAAAAGTTTCTTAATGATCGATATTCTCTAAACACTGCAGTCATGTTGTAACAAATTTTTCACCTTCAAAACTATATATTGCAGATATTTTAGAAAGGCACCACCTTTAAATGTACAGTTGACCTTTGAACAACATGGGTTTCAAATGCACGGGTCCACCTATACATGGATTTTATTTTTTCAATCAATACAGTAAATGTGTTTTCTCTTCCTTACGGTTTTCTTCATAACAGTTTTGTCCTCTAGTTTATTGTAATAATATACTATATAATACATATAAGATACAAACTATGTGTTCATCGACTGTTTATGTTATCGGTAAGGCTCTCACCCAACAGTGGGCTGCTAGTAGTTAAGTTTTGGGGAAGTCAAAATTGGGGGGTGAGGCTGGTGCCTTTAACCCCATGTTGTTCAAGGGTCAACTGTATTTGCGATATTAATCAAAATTGTCAGGAAGGTACTTTGCATAAGACAACTTAGTATATTTTAGCACTCCTAAAGGAATCCTTAAAACAAAAAACAAGCAAACAAACAAACAAACACCCATGTCTTGAAAATCTAAGAGCACCCAAAGATTGAGCCAACCCAAGACAACTGGGTCCTTTAAGCCCTCGGCCCCCCCACCCCCATCCCCTTTCCCAGAAGAAGAGAGTTTCTTCCTCCCTCTGCTGGGTTTCACTTTCAACCCCTGGTTAAAAGGTAAAAAGATGGAACAGTCACATTGAAAAAAAAAAAAAAAAGAATTTAGTGAGTAGGAAATGTGCAATAGTCATTTTGAAAACTATTATGCTTCACATTTTATTGGGCTAGTGATTTTTTAAGCATTGTATAAATCTTTTATAATGTAATTTTTAATGACCCAATATATTATTGCAAAAATCTGTTTTTTGTAAGACACTAAATTTGAATTTCTGAAGTCAGCCACAGTGGCTTTTGCAGAACTGAAACGGTCTGTTTAGCAGATAATGAGTTTTGTCAAAATGTGGACACAGAACAAACAGGAGTTTCCTGCAAATAGAATAGAGTGGCTGCAAAATGCTTTAGTAAAAAAATGTAAAAGACACATTACCTAACAAATTGCAGTGGTTTTGAAAGTACAGTTATCCATCAAGTAAAGAATACCTTTAAAAGAGCATAAATGTTTATTGGCCTTCTAAAATGAGTTGGGAAAATTATTATAATTATTATTAAATAGGATGGGTTACTTTTTAAAAATTAATATATACATTAAAATTGCTTTGCATTCTATAACTGAGTGATACGATAGTATGTTTGTAAGAGCACTGAGACTGAATTCCAAATTCTCCAAATGTTGTTCAGTTTCTGCTGCTTAGAAGCTGTGAAAATATCTTATAAGCTACTAATCAAAGTCCCAGCATCATTTATCATTAAATATTGGTGGTTGGAGTTGAATGTACAGGGCAGCCAGGGCTGCCCGTAAATCACATTCCCGACACACTTCTTTACATCAAATCATCATGCGGACGTGTCGGTAACTGGAATCATCCTCACTGTTTAAGATTATTACTATTCCAGGTAGCCCTCCATCTTGTCCCCCTCACCTTTGCTCATGTGCATAGACTTGCCACGCAAACCACAACAAAAAATAAATAAAAAAGCGAATCTTGCCATGGCAAAGAAACAAACGTATAACAACTTACACTCCTTGAACACAAATCAATTTTGTTTCATAGACACCAAAAATAAAATATATCAGATTCTGAATTTCTATGCAATGGTTTAAGAAAGAGTCTCATTTCTAGCTCCTGCTTAAAAAAAAAAAAATTACATGGCACTTTCATGCCCCCAGATCAAGCTATGTTCTTATTGCTCTTTCAAGGATGTCGGTTACACTCTGCAGTCACAGTGTTGCTCACAACCCCCCCTCCCCCCAGTGTGTTCCTGGTATTGTTCACTTAGTGGCCACACGATCCCCCCCCCAACACACACACACACACACACACACACACACACACACACACACTCCTTGTCTNACACACACACACACACACACACACACACACACACACACACACTCCTTGTCTGCCCAGGAATATCCCTTCTCCGTTGGCTATCCAAATCCCATCAGAACTCTCATCAATACAGTTTTGAAATATTCCAACCTCTCAGAAAATGATCTTTTCCGTAAATCCTATTACAGCTGTTAAATGAGGTTGGCACTCTATGCTATCTCATCTCATCTCTCCCAGCAAGTTCTTTGAGGCTAGGAGCATGGCTTTTAAAAATGTGTATTTCTTAAATCTCTTACAGGGCTTCACATGTTCAGGCTTGTAGGGAATAGTCAATAGATATTTTAACGCATTAATCGTACTGAGCAAAAGTTTAACTGGCCAGACTGCACCCCTGAGCTATGTTCCAGAGAGCAGAAGGCCCTGTATTGACGGAGACGTAACCTTCAATGCTGTGCTCTTTTAATCCAGTACAAATTGGAATATTCTCAGAAACTAAAGCTCAGCATCATTACTCTGCTCTTTTACTATTACTGACAAAGCACATCTTCTAATAAATTGTCGAGAACTTATTCTACTTAGAAACTCAATATACACATATCAAAAGCTATTGCCTCTTAAAAACCAGCCCCTTACTTCCTCAAGTTATCTGGAAGAAACTCAATGTTAAGTTTTTCTTGTAATCAAGTGGCAACTAAGGAAGTGATACAGAGCGAGTGCCGCACCCACGCAGCTTCCAGGGCCTTGGCTTTCTTTTGGGTTCTATTTTTAAGCCCGCATATGTCCCCATTCTTACCACAAGGTGGCAGCGTGCACCGTAATTTGGTGAAATTGCGTTTCAATCCATCACGAAGCTTTTAAACCATGAATGGACCTGGGGTACACAACGTTTATATCTGTTTATTCCTGATTCTTAAAAAAAATAGAAACTTTAACAGGAGATAAACAAAGGAATTTTGAGCATGTGTGAATCAGCTAAGGGAAGACAAGAGAGAACAGAGCCACATTACCCGACACAAAGGAAGTTTTATTTAAAATTTTAGTAAAGAATCATAAAACCTATATGCTATGATGTTAGGGGTCTAATCACGGTGTATCATCATTTTCAGTACTGTGTCACATGTAAATATTGCTCCAATTTAAGGGGTTTTTAATTTTTAATTGCCATTTTAATGCTAAAGCCACGAATGCTCATTCTAACAGTTCTTTCTTCTTCCCCATTTCTTACTAAATCTAGAAATCCCACAAATATGGTTCGGGAAATAGTAAAACCAAATGTCAATTAAAACGGCAGGTTTCTCTCAGAAATACTGATCTTTGACGTCCCTGTGCTTTATGGTGAATAAAACTAACATGGGTCGATGCAACGTCAAAGAGCTTCACACTGCATCAAGAATATTTGGAAATAGAAGTGATGCTTGATCTTTTCCTTTAAAAATCATTTCGTTATCTAAATAACAACATGGGGCTTAAAGTCAAATGTCTTCCCCCATGTCGCCCAGCCGGGATCCCAATTCTCCTCTCCACCCACATTCTCCCTGCTTCT